TGCCCAATACAGCTCGATACCCACTCGAGCCAGTGACCACTGCCGCGACCAGGAAGGCATGCGTGTGGTTCGTACACCTTTTCTTGGTTGGTTTGGAATCAGGGTTTTTAGCCAACTCCCCTCAGTGAACTACCAGTGGTCCATCAACCCGGCTATAGCCCCGGATGTCTGATTTTCGTCCTCTCACTTTGGTGAGAAAACAACTCTGCCAAGAGCAGGCAGTGAGCAGGGCTTCCTCACCAGAGGCATGCTATTTGAGACGCTTGGTCATATAGGAGCATTTAACGAGGTGTAAGGGAATGGTGACCAGTCACAACCCGAGACACCCACCCCGACCATACTGAGGCTTTCGAAATGAATGACAAGCAATCAATCAGTGGGAGACCGTAAAATGCATACAAACATTTATTAAGCTGGATGATGTTGGTGAGTTTCGAATTTACAACCTCACAGGTGATGTGACAGTGACAAACACCAGTTGGTTGATATAGTGAGTAGTATATGAGTGACCGAACAAAATTTCCCAGACGCACATGACCGATTTCCCGGTCCTTGCCGCTAGTGAAGTAGGACACAGCCAACCCACAACAACAAATACTGAATTATTGCATTGATTCCTCGAGGCTTGTTCGCAAATCAAATCCCGCAACTGCAAATGATGTTTGCGTTACACAAGACCTGATATGCTTATGCACCAAAAACTTGCCGTTTTTCAACCTACTGTGCAACTTCAAACAAATATTTTATCTTCCAGTTTGACGTTGATGACCGACCTACCCAGATTTCGTAACAATATGTTCACATCTCTTATTAGTCCATTTATTTTCACTGATTGTCCATTATCCCATATTCTCAGGTCAGTTTTATCGATTACATTGTGTTCCCCCTGTGGGAAGCGTTGAGTGAGCTACTTCATCCAAACGCCAAACCCCTGCTGGAGAATATGAGCAGAAATCGCAACTGGTATTCGCAAAACTGCTAAAGCTGTACCGGATACAAAATGCACCGGCTGGGCGAACTGTGAAACCACATGTCTATTGTAGCAGCCTCGAGAGAACGATTACTGATACAGATGGATTCGTCTTTCAACGCGCCAGGCATAGATCATTTCTCCCCTGAATGCTCAGCGCGCTCTCTCCCTCTCGTTGTGTGCCACGATGGTGCCAGAGTGCTTTGAGCAACCACACACACACATCGCTCAATATTAGCGCCAATTTCCCTCTCTCTCCCTTCACCCAAACGCCTAAACTATCTATCCTCATTCACTGACGGTCGTACATCAGTGCATTCATGAACAAACTTGATTTACCAGACCCCAACAATCGCTAACAGCACAGTGGCCACCACCACCACCACCACCATCTCAGGTGTGGGCGCATTTGAGTGTGCGCTCGTGTGTGAACACGGATGAGTGCACTCAACCGACGGTGGTCGATGGACAAGCGGAACGCAAAAATGCGCCTTTGTCCAACCACTCGATTCATTCCAATTCACGTGTGAATGGTACCACACGTCGTGGTCAAATAAAACGATTGATTTCATGCCAGATTGTGAGATTCATACATTTCTAGATAAAAATCGCTTTTGGGTTTTACCTGTTAGTTATTCTATTTCCCATAAAGGCCAGCAGAAAAATAGATGTATCAAAATGAACTCGTGTGAAAGTAATAGAAACAAACAAGGTTCTCGTTCCATTCACAGTGACTTGTGAGTAGCAGGAGTATGCGGTAAATATTACTAATTTTCGTTGATTATCCCTTAGCTTTCATCTTCACCAACAATTCTCAGATTAGATGGTCGACTAGACACTTGCGGATCATCATACTTGACCGCCTTTTGTGATTGTGCTTATCAATAGTGCATATCCATCAGCCCTACGGGATCTGAAAACTGAAGTCGTACATTCAAACTATAGTCGACAGCTCAGTTCATGAACCGAGGGAGGTGACTAACCAGAAATACGGATTCAGTTTTTTTCCAGCTGTCTTATTTACTTATAGTCAATCAGCTTACGTGCCCCAACGGCTACGAAGAAGGACGTGGTGTAATATCCGCTACCTCCAATAGAAATCCTCACCATGCGGGTTGGATGGTTACCCATTAAAAATAAAAGTAACATTCGCCTGAAAGTAACATCCATTTTATAGCTACTCATGAGTAGTAATTGTTGATAAGTTGAATAAATGAAAATGAAGACCTAAAAGCCAGTGACATATATGCAAGTAACAACAGTGACTGTTTTGGTTATTCAGCCTAGTTTAGACAGGGTGGAAGAGAGTTCCANGAAACAGTAGCACCTGCAGTCTGGTCAACTATTTTGGAGCAATAGTTAAAACGGATGTCCCTTGAGGAGATCAATCCTGGATATCACAACCAAGATCGCTAGGTTGCTGCAGTCATGGTTTGCTGGAGTTCTCAATTTTCTCTTCGACTCTACTTTCAACCTCGGTGTCTTTGTCCTATTGCTCCATTCAAGTGGGCAGCCAACATACAGAAACCAAAATCGGCGCACGAAAGTGCACGGTTAATGGTCATATAAACTGAACTGAAACTGCAGTATTTTTCATAAGGGGATCACGTATATCCGAATTCGGTGGTAATGAAATGGGTATGGTTCGTGGAGCTGCAGCCTTTCTTTAGGTGACCCATTTTGATAAATAAAGAGAGGGAAGATTGAAATGTTGAGGAGATAGAAGATTCATATAGACAGCGTTTGCAAGAATATTGGAGTTGCAAGGATAATGAGTAGATGCACGAGCACCACTGTTTGTGACAGCCATATCACTCAATGTCTCTGATCACTCGTTACCATGATCTCAAGGTCCCCACACAGGGAGTCGAACGCAACCTATATTACCCAGTATACTGGTTGGGGTTTCACGCCTTCATTCCAGGTCTTACCTTGACCACTATTGATTTTTCCATCCACTGCCACGGCGCTGTTTGCTGGGGCAACCCATTTGTTGACATATGCAGCTCACGCTCTATGGTGGTCGACCACTTGCTTCAATAAGCGACCGCGGTTACCTAAAATGCTGCTCCCAACCTAAGCATAGCTCATTCAGTTGTCCAAACAGACTCCTGAAACGATGAGCAGACAGCACTGTTCAAACACCAATAGTCTATCTTTATTATGTTCACTTTTGGCTAGTTTATGCTGATGGTAAAGGGAGAAATGGGTATGTTTCAAACGGTCCGAAAATATGCTGCCTTACGGCCATTGATGACGGTCCAACACATTGTGTGGCACATTCTGGATCCCCCAGAACAAATGCTCTCAGATCCTTCTCGTTTATAGCAAGCGGTAATGGTTAATTTCCAAGCGCTTATGGAAAGCGTCCTTACATTTCTCAATGTTGAATTCGATAACATGAGGAATAGACCATCGATCAGCTGCGTCCAATGTTTCCTATAATGGTTCGTAATCTTCAGGATGTACTGTTCTCCATGTTGTGGCATAGTTGACTAATAATGGTGCCTCTACCCCAAGCATATTTGGTAGATCGTTTATGGGTGCCAGGAAAAGGTGAGAATCAAGTACGGATCCTTATGGAAGGGACAACGTCGATTGGCCCGGACAACTCAAACCGATGTGGGACGTTACCAAAGAACTTCCCCATTCCAGTCAAGCAGCAGCCCTCGAACCCCGTACTTATAAAGTTTTCGAAGCAGCGTAAGATCGTTCAATCTATTAAAGCCTTGGAGAAATCCAAGTAGACCCCGTATACTGCCTCCTCCATCTCGACTGTCCTTGCACTTTTATCTCTCTGGCAAGCAACATATTTGTGTTGTGCGACGGAATTCAGTAACAGTTGACTCAATTAACCTCGATAGAACAGGAATAAGTGCAACAGTAGTTCTTGGAATCAATTTGACAGCCACCTTCGTAAATGAGTGAAATGACACAGTTTTTTCAAGACTGGTGGAGATTCGTGTAGAACAGACTTTTTGTATAAATTAGCGATTATTTCATACACTTGATCTGACCAAGGTGATTAGACTCCTTAAATGGTCCCCCTGGGATGAATTTTTGCGCAACACCATCAGTTTGGCTTTTATCAGCTCAGCCTTTAAAGGTGACGTTAGTTAACTGGGGTTATGGGCCACATAGCAGTGAATGTAGATGCTGCAATTCGACTTCGTCACCTCTCCGGAAACTTTACTTCAGTAGCCGGGATGCTTCAGACGCAATAGTGGAAACGCATTTAGTATGCTTTAGTGTCAATATTCCGTACTTCACTTTTCTGATGGCATTTATCAGCTTGCACGAGAGCTTTAAATGGGAAATAAACTCGTAAGTCAGAGTTAATTGAAACATCTGTTTGGCCTTCCACACAAGGGTATCTAAACATCTCGTCTCGTTAACCATTCCGCCGCATTACCACCATTGGATAGAAGATGCGAAGGAAGCTTATTTTTCTTTTCTATTCCGTTGACCGCACATACTACCGGTTGCTGAGATCTGTTTATGAATAGCTCTTCAATAAGTGGATTACGAGTACAACTCATCTGTCCAATATCCCTTTATGAGCAGCTAAGTAAACAAACTTCCCGCTGTCGTGAAGTACTACTCACAATTGTGAGTAGTGGGTAACATAGTTGGTGATTTATTCCAACGATCAAAAAGCAACAAGAACGCCGAGGGGTAAATTGTTGTATCCCAAAGAATAACTATTGACTGCTACATTCATCACCCGTTGTGCGGCCAGGAACTACGATGGTATGTTTGATGAGATTTCTGTGTTATGTATGCCAAATTGGTGATGCCCCATCTGTAATCCTCAATAAACAACTGTCCTCAACCGAGTACTGCCTTTTGGAATTATAACACCGTGAATGTGTCTACACCGCAAATCAGATTATTGAATTGTTTTGAAGACAAAACACTGATATTCGACAAGCGTTTAAAGCCAACCAAAATACGGACGCTTTCTTGCCCTGTGATTGGGAACTATAAAGGAATTAAATTGTGGGGTCGGGAGAACAAATCGACAAACTCCGCGGAGTAAAATCGTGATGCCAACGGTTCCAAATTGGCCGG